GCAATTTTCAAGAGAATACTGGACAGTTATTCTGGATGTAATTAAAAGTAATGATCAGATATACTATTCACATTATTTATCTCATGCATATAAGAATGAATCTCTGAAATATACCCAGATGAAGAACTTCAGCACAGCTATAATCATGGAGGAGGAGGGCTAAAGATGACTACTTTATTTAGTACTTCTTATTCCATGGTAAATAATGGCTCCACTCCATATTCAAATACCTCCACATCTTAGAAGCAAAGCTACAGATTATTTTAACATGTGAACCCAAATGCATGTGTATACATATGACAAATACGATAAGTTGTACACATTAAATTTTTGGATGAAATACAGAATGTCAAAGAATAAAATTTATTTGCTCTAAAAAATCATTCGGGATTCAGCTTGTTGTAATATATATCTAATACGACCAATGAAAAGTATTGTAATCATTTTCTATTACTGCATAACCAATTACCACTGAGCTACTTAAAACAACATCCACTTTTTTAGCTAACAGCTCTGTAAGCTTTGTAAAAGTCAGGCACGGCATGGTTGGGTTCTCTGTTTGGGGTCTTACAAGGTTATCACCAGAGTTGCTGTTGGGCTACTTTCCTTTCTGGAGGTTCTGGGGGAATAATCTGCTTTCAAGTTCATTCAGTGTATGAACTGACTCCTTTTGGCTATAAGACTGAGATCCTCTTCTCCTTGCTGGCTGCCAATCATTCTCAGCACCTAGAAGCCATGTGCATTGCTAGCCACATAGTCCTCTTCATCTTCAAAGCCAACAGTCTTATTTATCGTGTGTCAAATATCTCTAGCTTTGAATTTTTTACTTCCTTTGTGTCTGAGCTCTAGACCATTGTCATAAATCATCATCATCCATCTTCTAAGAATCAGGTCTCTTTTTGGAAGAGTCTGTAAGAGAGGTCCAGTTGTGATTTCAATTCGATTTCTCTCCCATAAAGTTCCTATTGCCCATGGGAATTAAGGGATGTAAGTAAACATCTAGTTTGGTGTCCTCAAATTATCAAGTAGCACTTGAGGAAAATCCCCTCACATCCTTCAAGGCTAAGACATTCTCATCTCCAACACTTTGAGTTCCAATGACTCCCAAGAGAGGGACACCTGGCCCAATACAGGGAACACATTCGGAAGGCCATGAGCCCTCTGCTGGGTGACTGGACCTGGAGGAGGAGGTGGCCAGGAGAGCAAGGGAGGCTATTCTAGGTCTAGGGGACCTCACGGGCATCAGCACTGGGACGGGAAGTGCAGTGCAGTTATGGAATTGCAGCAGCGGGAAAGGTCCCTCACAGACACGGCTCTCCTTCATTTTCCCACCACAGGTCAGTTTCCCACCACAGGGAGGGTGGATCTGAGCTGACAGCAGGCAGATGGGGAGTGAGAATGCTGTAATGGGAGTCTGTGGAGAGCGTGACAAGGCCACAGGCACAGGCAGGCCCTCAGACCATAGCCCCTGGAAGAATAGTGCAGGTTACCCAGCCCGGGAGGGACCAGATGGCTCAGAGGGCCGCCAGACAAAGACCTCATTGACAAGCAGTGGCCTGAGGAGTGTGTATGAGCCAAGGAACCAAGCTGGACAGAGGAGGGGAGGTGGCTACCAGCAAAAGGGATTCAATCATGTCCCTAAGTGAAGGGCATCATCTGTACTAAATAATGTTCCTGCCTCAGGTCTGAGTGGTTCTGAGGCATCAAGGAGAAGGTTGGAACCTCAGTCTCCAGCTGTACGAGGGGAAGAGGATCCAGCAGCTTGGAAAGATTTGGTCTGGGTGAGTGAGGAAGGCCCAGATAGGAAGGTGATGGGGTACATGTAGAACTGTAACTGCAGCGAGAAGCACCAGCACTTCCTTTCTAGAATAATCACACCCACACAACCACTAACTCATCTGAATTCTGGAAACTACGATATGCACTCTTAGATGTTCAGAAAAGTCTACGAACAGTTCAAGAGATCATAACGTTCCTGTTTGCAGTTACTCATCCCCTAGACACTTGAATGCAAAAGGTGACATGCTCCACCCATACATATCCCCAGACTCCCCCTTTTCCAGATTCTCAGTGTTCTCATGTATGATTTGATTAACTGTTACAAATGCATACTAAAAACATTATTTTCAATAAGTTTAACCCATGGATGTGACAACCCGGATAGGGTTCTTTGGGATCAGATGGAGCAATTTACCAATACCAATAAAGGGAAAGGAAAACCAAACTATACTATTAGTCATTTTTACCATTAATATAAGAAGTCTGAAAAATACTTGATTTTGTTTCATCTGAAAAACTCTCTTCACCCTCCCTCCCTAGTATCCTAAGTATGAAACACATCTAAATTATCACAGACTTGTTTACCTATTCCCCTTTTTCAAAAAAATTGTTTATTTTCTATTTTGCTTTATTTATAAATATCCCTTTTGCAGTGCTAACTAACTAGGCTAGTTCTCTCACCTTTAACAAAGACTTGACTAAAGTTGCTTTTTTGAAGTCAAGCAATCTAAGTTATGACAAAAAAAGAACAGTGGAAGCTATTAGATTTTTCTCCAGTGAACATATCAGTAAATTATATTATTCAAAAGCAGATTCAAATATTAGAGATTTCCATAATACAAAAAAATTAAGCTTGATGAAGACTGATATATATCTATATGACAGGGGGAAATACTTAGGCAACATGTTCTGCATTTAACACTATTATTTAACACACATTTATCACAGAATTATTGATTCTGGATCATGGGCTGTGAGCTAGGGATATGAAAGTTATCATGGGAAAAGTTGTCTGTCTGCTGTAGCAGTTCACTGGTGTGCTCTGTTCTCAGAGATGCAGCATCTGAAATGCAGCCAGTCCTGAGATTACCAAACTGGTCTCTGCAATTTTTAGGAACAATATGGTCTCCTCTGTCGGACTACACTCTGTCCACAGACTCCTCCAACAGCACACAGTCCACATGGCCGCGGTACCACAGCACCTACTATTGGATGTCACAGATCTGGGGTCACTTATTTCACATTCTCAAGAGTAAGACTAATTTCTTTCAGACCGGTCACTGGATGATTCACCCTGGATCAGATATCTCTTTCTGACCCAATAAGAATTGGGAATGTGAGGCACAAGATATAACATAGCCCATAACCTGCTCCTACTAGAAGCCCAGGTTGAGCGAAACAAAATAAAAGAGGTACCATATGCAAAAACACCACACAGAGAGACTAGGGATATGCCCTGGAAAGTTAATCTGACCAATAGTGAAACAATGGGTTTCAAAGCAAAACAGACGTCAATTCTACAGTGTGTATGAATTGAAAGAGCCTGATAGCATCTCAGGAGTTAGTCACCATTAACAAAAAAGCCTGTGTACAACCATATGTATTAACTCAAATACACACTTACAGACATTATGTACCCCCCTACCTTAGTCTCACCAACCTCAACCAATCAACCTTCTGAAAACAATTTCAAGGGACTTAATTTCCTTTTTCTTTTTGCTTGTCCATCCTGCTTTGGTTATTTGGGGTATTCAGACCAGTCTCAGTGAGTTTAAGAGATCCCAGGTACCTATTTGCAATTACTTACAGCCTAGGTACTTGGATGCAGAAATAGCTATGCTTACAGGTATCCACAACAAGGTTTTGCAATTGAAAATGATATTCCATCCAAGTCACCTAGTTGAACAACAAGAGGCACAATAAGTTCCACTGAAGAGTTTACCATGTTCAATAAAGAATAATGTTAAAAGATCAAAGGCAGGTGACTCTAACAGGAAACTTCACAACCACAAATATATTCTTATAATAATGAAATACTATAAACCAATGGATACAAGGATGTTTTAATTCTTGTGGCAGCAGGTGGCTGACAGACCACCAAACTCATTCTCCTGCTTTCTAAGCAGAGGGGCGCAGCTCCCTGCCCCACACCCATCTATGAGGCCATGGGATTGGTTCTCCCAATAGCCTGTGGGTGTGGAGATGTAACTGACAATACAATTGATGATGAGGCCATGCTGGACCCCAGGGCTCTCAAAGAGAAGCTGCGTCCTGAATCACTACATGGAGGGGAAAGAGCCATGACCAGCATCCACCACCTCTATCTGTTGCATGAGTAAGAAAGGCACTGATATTAATAAGTTACATCACTATAAGGCCATAGTTTATTTGCCAGAGCAACTATTGTTTCCTTAACTAAGACACCTCCCTAAAACTGTAGAGTGTTGCACACACACTATAGAACAAGATGATAGGAAAGTACAATGCATTTCTGAGGAATTAAAGTGGTCTTATAAAGCTTTATTTATGTTTTGTTCACATACACATGCACAACACACACTCTTACACACATGCACACACACATATACTTCTCTTTTTAAATATGAAGAAATCCTAAAGTGGGTAATTTGTTTTGTGGTCAAGTGACTAAGTTTTGTTTGGTCTTTAAATATTTCATATCTCAAAACAAACCCTAATTGAATAATTATTCTATCTATGGGTTTGAAATATTTTTACACATGGGAATTGTATGTGTGGTTGATAATTGAAAAGGAATTCTGTAATTCAGCATCATATATTACCGAACACCTTATATTAGGTTACATCAAAATGTCCTATCATTTCCAGAACCTGCAACCCTAGATCATCTAGAAAAAAGAACCCAAATAGGAGACTGTGACTTGGCGTCTCCTGATTTCCAGCAAGCTGATTGAATGCAAAGCCTTCCTTTGTGTACCATTTTGCACAATTTACATGCAGGGCAGGCATTCATTTTGTTAGAGTTTCAAGTACAAATCAGGCCATTTTGGACACCTTTTGAACATCTTAAATCAGATTGGTTACAATGCCCTTCCAACATTTGACGGAATGTTCCAATTCCACTGCCAGGTTTGTAAGGAGAAGATAAACACCACAATTTATTTTCACTGGCAACTCAAAGCACAGAACCAGTTTCACTGGCAACTCAAAGCGCAGACCCGCACGGAGCAGCTGCCCAGTACCTGATGCTGCTCATGCTCCCCGTCTGGGATCCAAGCTTGCATCGCTCCAGCTGGCTGGCCACGATCTGGCGCTCGGCCTCCAGTTCTCGGGTCAGTCTCTCAAACTGTAATTCCTGAAAGGAAACCACCAAAGTGTTACTTCTATCACCTATATGAAAAGCAAGATATTTTTACAGATATTCCAAAATGACCAGAATGACATGAGGGTCAAGGGGGAAAGTATGCTATACCAAGAAAGATGTCAAATGTGAGCAGCAGAGGATGTTGATGTGGGATCAAAGAAGGACGTGCAGCTCAGACAGACCTGAATTTAACAGCACAGTCCTCGGACCTGCTGGCCACACGACACTGAATAAGTTATTTAAGCTTTCTGAATATCAGGTTCATCATCTGTTAAATGGGTTTACAATACTTATTTCGTACAGCTGAGATGAGGATTAAATGAGACACCATCCATGCAAAATTAGTCTGTGCTGTGTTTGACAGATGGTCAGTACTCAACACCTATTAATACTTGTGTCACCAAAAGTATGACAACTAATAAAAAAACAATTCATTTCATTTTTAACCATTTGTAGTATTGTGTTTATCACCTGCTAGGCTTCTAGATACCTCCATGTACTAATTTGATCTTCATATCACTTACATATTATAAACAGAAATATAATAATGCTTAAACCTACACTATTTTATGCTTTAAATTCCAGCAAAACGGAAATGATACTGATTCTATGCAGTTTAATTACAGAGTGAATAATTTTTTAGATATTTGCTCTATCATTTTTAAAAATAGCCAATTGAACCAATGAAGAATATTTCCACAAAGCTGCCAGACATCCACTATTAAAGGATTAACTTTATTGAAAAAGGATTGACTCAGTTTGTCAAGGAACTTAGCTTGTTTCATCTACAGGACATTGATACCATATCTTAAGCTTTATATTTTATTTTTCTTATACACTTATGGTTTTTAATAAACACCATTATGCCAAATCATGCAGTTTAACTAAAAATTCCAGGAAAATTGTTTCCAATGTCACATTTAACTTCCTCAAAAAAAGTTATCTGCACAGTTATGTTTTAGAGGATGAGTAAACAAGAAAGCTGAAAAATGCAGACAAATAGGGTAGGGGTCAGTTTGGGAGAATTAAAACCCACAACTGTACAGGAATTTGTGTTCTCGAAAATAGATGAGTTTATTTCATTTGCTGCCCTGGGACATTCTGCTTTTTTGGGGCAACTTCTTTCCACAAAAATATGCTAATTCTAGAAGATTATTCATTTATAGGCTTTATATTTTATCTTAAATCCATGTAACAGGAAACCAACACATATCTTTGTGTTGGTAACACCTTAAAAATATAATAAAGAACATTATTTGTATTATCTAAAGTACTTTAATTTGTTGGATGGCTGTGCATGTCACAAGTAGTTCAATATGG